CAGTAAACAGTACTCTCATAGCCAAAAAAGGAGAAAAGAAATAGATCAATCCTTGGCATTTGTGCAGTCCTCTGCAAACTGTGTTCAACTGCCATGATTTGCACCAGTATATAAATTTGTCTTATATATCAATGTTTAGTGAAAATATTTGTTGAATCTGAAACTCAGTGATGTGGTATAGTGAAAATAGCACTGGATTGTGACTCAGGCATACAGGCTCTACCACTAGTTTGGTGTGCTACATTCAGCAACCATTTTATCTTTCTGGATCATAAAGGGAGTAGAGTTGGATTAGATGTGCTCTAAGTGCTCTTAAACTCTACTCTTCTATAAAACTAAGTCATTCAGTCTCAAATAGAAATTTTTACAGTCAATTCTGGTAGCTGCTCTTTACTGGATAGTTCTGTTTGAGAATTATTTTCAGTATCCTATACCCACTTCCTTTTCATTGACTTGATCACTTTAAGGTTGGGAACACAGCTTTCATCTTTTTTCATATGATTTATTCTGTAATCATGTATGTTCTTAAATCTTCACAAAAGCCTGAACATCAGAATATTGATATGTTACTCTTTGTGCTGTCATTCCTTTTTCTAAAGAGTGCCCAGGGAGCACTGGTAGAATTTTTCTACCAGAATGCACCATAGAGAAGCAAATTTGATATTATGCTAATAGATTTACAGTAGCAGAGCAAATCTTGAGAAATAATTTTTTAAAACTCTAATGAAATCAAATGTATATTTTTTATCTATAGGCAATCATAAGTTTCTGAGGAGGGAGAAGTTGTGATTGTTGTACCCAGTGAGAGAGAACCAACCAGAGACCGATATTAAATCCACACAGGAGTTTATTACCGGCCGGGACCCAAGCCGGGCATCGGACTCGAGCCTCGACTGGGGGTTGATAAACATGTTTTATACACCTTTGAGGCCAACAGTTTCTAGGCCCCCCTATGGGATAGAACTAGTAAAGCAAGCAAAAGGCACAGAAGCAGAACGTCCTGCTGTTAGAACATTTGTAAAGCAATAGTTGATTAATTGTTATTTCTAAAGAGACTTTCTAAGGGGAGGAGGTTTTTAAGCTTCCTCCTTCTGAGTTCATTTAAAGGGCAGGCAGGTGGGTCGTTCAGCAGCAATATGGAGTCTGTCTTGTTAACTAGGGTCCTTCAGTGATCAATATGCTGTTAAGCTTGAGTACCTCTCTCTTCCTGATTTATGAATAAATTGAAACTTGCTTTCCACCTTCATACCCAGTGCTCTCCATTTTTTAGCTCTACTTGCAACTAAACAGCACATTTCTTGACTGCTATTTAACAAGATATGGAAATTTACTTGGTACTCACCTTAGTTACATATTCTATATCACTTAATTTTTTAGTCATTTAAAATTCCAACCTCTAATCACCAGTTGGTATCATCTACATAATTCTTTTTCTATGCCTTTTGTCAAAAATAGTAATAACACAGTAGAAGGCCAAGGCCAACACTGTGGCTGTATCTCTCCCAAACCAACAATAATCAGATATCATCTTCAAGCTTGATTCCTGCCACCAATTCAATGCCAGTCAGAAACACCTATTAAGAGTATGATCTCAAGGGCCAGGGATTTAGCTCAGTGGTTCTGCTACCTGCCTCGCACGCACAAGGTCCCGAGTTCAACCCCTGGTACCAAAAAAAAACAGTATGATCTCAAGTCCTAGATTAAGCTGAGAATATAAGGATGGGTGAGACTATCTCTCTCTCTCTCTCCTAAAGAGCTTCAGTTAAAAAGAGCTAAGCCAAATGCATACAGACCAAGTATTTTTCAATGAATGTATATATATAATAGGAAAAAGTAATGCTATATAATTATGTCATATTTTCTTATTTTGTTATAAAGTGCAAAATTTTAAGTTTTACTTTTTTTCAGACAGGGTCTTGCTATGTAGTTCAGGCTGGAAATGGACTCACTATGTAGCCTATGCTGGCCTTCAACTCACGGTGATCCTCCTGCCTCAGCCTCTTGAGTGCTGGGATTACAGGTGTGCACTGCCATGCCCAACAAATTTTAAGTTTTAAATCAAGCTGGTGGACTCTTTATGAATACAGCTTAATTACTTCTTAATACTTACTATCTAATATAAACCAATCAAGATTATCTATAAATATCTTTCTAGATATAAAATTAAATTTAGAAGATCAATCTCTAGCCCTATCTTTTAAATTTTTCAATTTATTCTCAATAATTTTAGCTAAATTAATTAAAATAATTATTTGGGGAACTTTAGATAAGGTTCAACAGACATTTCATTTTTTTCTATTTATGTTAAGACCATAAGCTTTTAATCATGTAGTATAAATCAGTTTAATAGAGTCCAGTTTACTTCAATCATAACTTTTCTTTTCTTTTTTTTTTTTTTTTGAGACAGAGTCTTGCTATGCAGTTCAGGCTGGCCTCAAACTCACTATGCAGCCGAGGCTGGCCATAAGCTCATGGTGATCCTCCTGCCTCAGCCTCCAGAGTGCTGGGATTACAGGCATGCACCACCAAGTCCGGCTCAATTCCTAATTTTTCCCAGGCCATTTACTTGTGTAGTCCTAAAGGTACTTCCAATTCACTCTATTCACTAAGACCCTGGCTATATATACCTGAGATGAATGCACCTGCATTACTGTTTTCTGCAGTACTCAGGGGAAGAAGATACAGTTTGCTCTTTCACATACAAGAGTTCCCAATATCCAGCAACTGGACAGTCATCTGTTTCCCTCTTTGGTACTTCCTTAATGTCACTATGTAATTTTCAAGAGCTTCTTTCAACACTGAAGAAACTTGCCTTTACATGAGGGACTCTGGCTGGATTTCCAGGTTTTGCCATGATTTGACCTCCTTTATTATCTTCACATTACAAATGAGAAAACTGAGAATCAGAGATCTTAAGTAACTTGCCCAATGACACACACCTAAGTATAGTCTTTACTATGATTCAAACTCAGGCCTACCCTGGGTCAAAGTCTATTAGGTTTTTGCCACTCTATGTTATTCTTGCCTGAGTAGAAAACTAAGCTGTTCTTTCTTGAAGAAGGAATAATTTGGGATAACTAAAATGAAGTCTTCATTTGTTCCACAGGGAACTTAATATAAATAAGATCTATGGAATAAAACTAAAAACCTAAATGTGTATTAACAGATGAATGGATAAAGAAAAGTTGGTATAAGCATAAAAGGGAATACCATTCAGCCTTTAAAAAGAAGGAAATTCTGTAATAATATGCAATGGCATGGATGAATACAGAGAACATTATGCTAAACAAAATAAGCCAGTCACAAAAAGACAAATACTGCACTATTCCACTTGAGTGGACTATTTAAAATATTCAAATTCAAAGAATCAAAGAGTAAAATGTAGTTGTTAGAAGCTAGAAGAGAGAGGAATAAGGTGCTACTGTATTAATCAACAGGCACAAAAGTTAAGTAAAATGAATAAATTTTAGACCGTTTTTGAGCAATGAAACATTTATTTTTATACCATTTATCTGATATAAAAATAAAACTGTTTTATCTTCTTGTAACTGATATATTGGGAGGTAGTCAAATATACCTCATGTTTCTAACAACTTAACCGGGGTAATGTCAGAGGCAACTTTGATCAGCAAGGAAAGGGGTGGGAGTTTGTTGACTTTAGACATTTAGATTCTAAAATGATCTCAATAAATGACCTTAATTCTGGAATTAGGTCCTCAGAAGAATGTGAGAAATTTTGCAAAATACATAAATAAGAGCAGCTGTCTTAAAGTAAATTTGATAGCTTTACATTACTGATTGCACTTTGTTAGAACAAAACAAATTATAAACATTTTATGAGTGAGTCCCGTTACAGCAACTAGATCATTAAATGAATTGGCTGTTAAGTGGAGAATTGTATATAGTATGTATATTACAATATTCAGAACAAAGAAATGCTCAGAGGAAATTCCAGCTTGGTGGCTTTATTTTTATTTGCATAACTCTTACATGCAGTACTGTAATGCATAACAGAACATAAAACTACAGTACTGTACAGTACAGTCAGCAAAAATTACAGTACTGTACTATAGGAGGCCATCATAAGGCTGCACTGCTGCTCACATTCCTAGTTCCTGTGTGGTAAGTCTGAATCTGGGTCATAAGTCTGAGCTGAGCATTGTAAGTCCAAACAGCATGCCTTGGTCATAAGCCCAGAGAGTCATTAAACAGGTAAGTCATTAAATGAAGAATATCTGTATTAAGGGCCTAAAACCAAAAAATGTCCACATAATGGGAGAGATACAATATATTTTCCTAGGAACTGAAGCCTATTAGAAACCATGGAGATTAGATTTCAGGCATCCACTAAAACCTGTGAGGGTAGATGATTTGTCCTGGAATCTTGAAGGCATATGATCAAATAGGATAAGCACCTCATACAAGAAATAATACAAATGAACTAATAAAAATGGTATCAGAAGTTTCTCTTTTAAAAGACATAAACAATGATGATCATATTGTGAGAACCAGAGATGTATAACTTTGAACGGTTTAAGACAAGCGGAGCAACTTTAAATCATAAAAATTAGTACTTAGTTTAGAAAACTCTACCAAACCTAGAATCTTGTCCTTCCTTTAGAGGAACTGACCAGGCCTGTATCTCAAGCAAATCTGATATATTCAAAGAGAAATGAAGTTTTCCCTCAAGTTTATCTGAAAGAAGCTCAGGGAACACTAGTAGTCTCCACATCCAGATTGCAGACAACTTACTGTATTGTCTCCATTGCTCTTTGTTGAAACTACAGATGGCTTATTCTACCTGCTCTCAAGAAAACAACTACCCTAATCTTTATAGATTTAGAGAATGGTAAACCAGAAAGACTTTGGTGAGCACATAGTCTAACCCCATTGTATTACAAATTAATGAAGCAGTAACAGAGAGGAAGTGATTTGCCCAAGATTACTCAATTAATCATCCACCAGAGCCTGAGGTATGATCTAAATCTTTTGTCTTTCAGTCCTACATATTTTCCACTATGCCCATTGTTTTTCTCCATGAAAGAATTCCTTCTTGGAGCCAGGTATGTTGGTGCATGTCTGTAATCCCAGAACTTGGGAGGATGAGACAGGAGGATCAGCATAAATTCAAGGTGAGGTTGGGCTGCATAGTGAGTTCAAGACCAGCCTAAGCTACATAGCAAGAGCTTATCTCAAGAAAAAAAAAAAAGAATTCCCTCTAATATTGATAAAACATCAGTGATATAGGAAATGAGTTAACTCAAACCGACCTATATGTAAAAGACACTACACTATGTACAGCAAGAAATAGAAAAAGAATAAGGCCTGTGTATCATCCTTTTATACTAGTGAGACTGGAGTGGAAATAATGGGGATGTTTAATGACTTACTGGTTGAATTACTTAAATACAAGATGACAAAAAAATTGCCTTTTTTTCATTAATTTTTATAAGATAATATAACAGAAAATATAGAAATGACAATTTTATCAAATTTATTCAATAATTTTTCTGCATATGGTGCATCTTAAAACATTCAATACACAATGCAATGTTACAATCTGGACAACAGTATCTACTCTCTTTTCAATTTCTTTTTGCATTATTGTCTTTCTTGAACAACATACTTTACGCTGTTGTGTTGGCCTTTCCTTTTTTCTGTGGGTGGTATAATTTCAATAAAATGTCTACCCACTAAACATAATCATGAAGATGCTAATGATGGACATCCTATTTGGCATTTTGCTATCCTGTATTTTTTAATTATTTGGTCTGTTAGACCTAATCTAAATTGCAAATGACTTTTTAAAATTAATTTTATTGGTACATTTTAGATATATAATATAATGACATTCATCATTGGAAATTTGCAACTTTACATAATCTCTCTTTGTTCTTATTTTTCCCCCTTCCCCTGCCCTCCCTTTAACCCCTTCATCCCTCCCAATTTACAAAGACTTTGTTTCCATTTTTTTCATTTTCTCATATTAATTCCATTCCCTTCTTTCCTTTCCCCTACCCCTCCCACTTCCTTTTCCCCTTTGTGTAAATGACTTTTTGAACCTCTATGTTTTGAATAAATAACAAATGAGTTTCATATTGTTACTAATATTTGTTCCTCATTTGTTGATTACAGGACAGCTTGTTAGATGTTGTTCAACTCTGTCAACATCAACCATAGGATTATTATAATCATAGACCACTTTTGGAATTTTTTTAGTTTTGTTTCTTCTTTCAAATCCTATCATTTCTGTATTATGAATAGTTGACAATAAGAAGATATCTTTTTTGACTTTCCATTTCATAACACAGACCTTTCCTCTCTAATATACTAATATTTCTACCATTTTCAGTTTTTTCTTTTGCAGATCTTTTTGCACTTCCTTCCTGTTCAATCTCTGTCCCAAACATGTCTGTTTTGTATTGCAAAAGAATATCACTGAGTTCTGGAGAAGTATAAAAATTATACCTAATGTACTTATGATAAGAGTTTTATAGATTGTAGCACAAAATTATTGGCTATTCTTCACAAATAAAAATAAACACAAATTAATAAAAAAATAACCAGACCTTATTATTAGATTTTACCAAAAACAAACATCAAAGGTGAATACAATGTTCTAAATAAAAAGTATCCAAAATAGTCAATATAAAACAAATAAATAGATGTATGAGTTTATCTAATGCAAACAAGACCCAACTGGTTAAAATGATACCTATCAGAGCAGCACTTGGGATAGTCAGTAGATAAACAAATGTGCTTTCCAAGTGATGCTCAAGGTAAACTGTTAATTGATTAAACTGAGTGATCACAGAGACAAGTATGAGAAAGCAATAAATGAAAATTGTCAAGGAAAATGGAAAGAAAATGCTGCAGCACATCAAAGGAGCCAAATATGAAATTGGATTGAGAAGATCAACAATGACTTTTTGTTTGACTAGAAACATAAAAGAGGCACTATTACCATTTCATTTAGTAGAAGGTATATACCAGTCTGGGGACTTCTTGGGATGGATTACCAGTTCTGCCTGGACCACACTTAGAAGAATAATATGTTGTTGATTCTTGTTCATATGTAATTCTATTGCAGCAATAATAGAGTTGTATGCTATGATGAGTTAGGACCTTGTATTTTTATATCTTTGAGATTTTTTTGTTTTTGTGGTGCCAGGAATCAAACTCAGGACCTTGTACTTGCCAGGCAAAGCATGGCACTGAGCTACATTCCCAGTCTCTCTGAGCTTTCTTATTTATCTTGGTCATTAGAGCTTGACCATGTTGCAGGTTCAATAGAGTCTAAGAGAAAGAGAGAGAGAGAGAGAGAGAGAGAGAATAAGAATCATCTTCCTTACAAGAATAGGGTCTACACATGTGTAAATACCAAATAGTTTTTCTAATGTGAGAAACTGAAAGTGTAAATAAGAATTAAAATGATTAAAATGAATAATTGAGGGAGGTCATGGTCACACGGAACATGCCGAGTCACCCCACTGCAGACAGGCAGGTATGCACACGCCCTACAGAGGTCACGAATTGCATGGAACATGCAAATCGGCCCATGCCCTGGCAACAATCCACAGGACACCCCCCCCCGCCACCCTGCTCCTCTGTACAGCCACCTGGTTCCACACTACAAAGATGCAGAGGACACTGGACCACCAGACCACAGTACTGAGTC